ATATATATATATATTAAAATTTTAAAATTATTAAATTTTTAATGAGAAAGACTAAAATTCCACAATTATGATATTTGAGAGATTAAAATTGTTCAATTAAAAATTGTGAGACTAAAATTACACAATTATAATCTTTTAAGGACTGAAATTACTCAATTAAAACCTTAAAGATCAAAATTGCATAATTATAATATCAAAAACACAATTAAGTAAAGAATATTTTATTCACAGTTCTGGAACGGGCCGTTCTGAAACCAGAACGGCCCGTTCTGATTTCAGAAAGGCCCATTTTGAATCAGAACGACCCGTTCTGATTTTAGAACGGCCCGTTTTGCTTCACTGGTGGTGTTTTAATTTTGCAACTAAAACGGTTCGTTCCGGTTTCAGAATGGGTCGTTCCGAGTCCAGGTCTATTAAAAAGAATTTTCTCATCCACGTGGATGTCACGTATGCATCTACGTGGCATCCACGTGGCCAAAAGTTAACTCCGTTTAAATAATTTGGACGGAAGTCCTACATTGAAACTAATTAAGTAATTTGGGACTAAATTGAAACTAATTAATTAATTTGGGACCAATTTGAAACCAAAAATTAGTGAAGGACTAAATTGAAAAAAAAAATTTATAAGGGACAAAATAAGGTTTTAGCCAAATTAAATTAAATAAGAAATTTAAAAACATCATGTAAATATATTATAGAAAAAAACTCTTGCATAAAATAACGGTTGGTATTTAATATAATTAATTTGTATTTATTATTTTCAACCAATTTATTAGAATTTGTGAATTTAGATGAGCAATGTCTTACTTTGATTGTTTAATTTATGAATTATTTTAATTCTAGTTTATAAAAAGGGGGGGGGGGCGGGGGAAGAACGAAAGAGCCACGGATCGCAAACTTGAACCGTAGATTAACCTTAAAATCTAACGGCCAAGATCAAATTCGAAACACGGAGGAAGCCTCTTCCCGCTCCAATAAATACCCCCAATCTTCTACGCAAACTTCATCACATTTAAAACCAAAGCCCCAAATCCTCAATTTAGGTTTCAAAGCTCATCATGTAAAGCTTCATTTGTTGTTTGTACTGTTCTGCAGACATATCCCTTTATTGGAGCCTTTGGAGCTTATTCATAAGCTCCCTACCATAGTAGGTGGGAATGTGCCTCCTTCTCATTGCACTTTTAACATCATTCCAATATTGAATTGGAGGATCATTATGGAGGCGTGTCTCTCTTTCTAGAGCTGTCCACCAATACATGGCATGCCTTTGGAAGCTAAGGGTAGCCAGAGGGACTTTCCTTTCTTCACTTACCTTGTGGCAAGCAAAGAGTTGCTCAACTTTCATCTCCCAATCAAGGTATGATTCAACATCATCCTTTTCATAAAATGACGGGAGGTCAACCTTGACTTCCCTAGGTTTACTAACTCTCCAGAGAATCAGTGGTTTGATCTACGAAGAGACCAGAGGAGTTCTCAAGATTTTCTTGGAGAACGTGATTCGCGATGCTGTCACCTACACCGAGCATGCTAGGAGGAAGACTGTTACTGCCATGGACGTCACTAATTGTCCATCCATTAGTCCACGGATCGCAAACTTGAACCGTAGATTAACCTTAAAATCTAACGGCCAAGATCAAATTCGAAACACGGAGGGTGTTAAGAGAACATTCAGGGCATCACCAAACCTACGATTCGTAGGTTGGCGAGAAGAGGTGGTGTTAAGAGAATCAGTGGTTTGATCTACGAAGAGACCAGAGGAGTTCTCAAGATTTTCTTGGAGAACGTGATTCGCGATGCTGTCACCTACACCGAGCACGCTAGGAGGAAGACTGTTACTGCCATGGACGTTGGCGTCGGCATGACCAAAGCAGGTAATGCATGCGCCTTCTCCTTAGTTACTATTAATTAATCAATACTCTGTTTGTTAATTAATTAATTGTGTGTGCTTCAGATTTGGTGAACAATTTGGGAACCATTGCACGGTCTGGCACCAAGGAATTCATGGAGGCCTTGCAGGCTGGTGCTGACGTCAGCATGATCGGTCAATTCGGCATTGGTTTCTACTCCGCCTACCTCGTCGCCGAGAAAGTAATCGTCACCACCAAGCACAACGACGATGAACAATGTTGTTTATGCGCTCAAGAGACAGGGAAGGACCCTCTATGGATTCGGAGGCTGAACAATTTGTTCTTTTCAATGGCTTTGGTTCTGTAATGTAGGATGTTTCTCTAGTTTTACATTGGATAATAGTTGTATAACTTCGATTGGAATTATATCCTGTAATGTTTCTTCATTAAAGATTATAGCTCAACGTTAAACGTTTTGTCTTCTCCTGCTAATTTAACACTCCACAGTATCATTTTCTAACAGTTCATCGATATATTTAAGGATCTCTTGATTGTTTGAGTTATGTTTTTGGTGTAATCCACTACTAAACGTATTCAAAGGATCGATGTTCTTTATTGATTTCTGTTTTGTGTTGCCTTTGGTTATCTTTTTTGCACCAATATATGCTATATGTGGTAATCGATTACAAGAAATGGGTAATCGATTACAAGAGAACCTTTTAAAAAGTAAATTTCAAACATATGATTTTCATTGTCTGCTAGACTCTTAAAACAATAGTTTCCTCATTAAAGACACCCAGTTTGTGAGGGATTCAACCCAGTTAGTGACGGATTTTATCCGTTGCAAATTGTGACGGAATTATGGCGTCGCAAATTGTGACGGATTCTACTCAATAATAGGCATCACAGTTTGTGACGGATTTTCTTCGTCGCAAATTGTGACGGATTCGTTCATCACAATTTGTGAGGGACTCACATACCTCTCAATCCCTCTCAAATTGCGAGGGGTATAATCCCTCAGAAATTGCGAGGGATTTAATCTCTCACAAATTGCGACGGATTTTTATTAATTTTTAAACATTTATTGTTAGAAATTAGTGACGGAAATTATACTGTTTGTGATGCCTTAATTCCGTCACTAATTGTGACGGAGCAAATAATCCGTCACTAAATATTTTGTGACGCCAAATTTTGTGACGGAATCATTTCCGTCACAAATTCCGTCACTAATTTATTTGTGACGGATTTTATGAAGATTAGTGACGGATTTGTTCCCTCTCTAATTTTAATTTTTCTAGTAGTGTATCTAGCCGTTGAAATCCATCTATCAACGTTCACTAATTGTCCATCCATTAGTCCACGGATCGCAAACTTGAACCGTAGATTAACCTTAAAATCTAACGGCCAAGATCAAATTCGAAACACGGAGGGTGTTAAGAGAACATTCAGGGCATCACCAAACCTACGATTCGTAGGTTGGCGAGAAGAGGTGGTGTTAAGAGAATCAGTGGTTTGATCTACGAAGAGACCAGAGGAGTTCTCAAGATTTTCTTGGAGAACGTGATTCGCGATGCTGTCACCTACACCGAGCACGCTAGGAGGAAGACTGTTACTGCCATGGACGTTGGCGTCGGCATGACCAAAGCAGGTAATGCATGCGCCTTCTCCTTAGTTACTATTAATTAATCAATACTCTGTTTGTTAATTAATTAATTGTGTGTGCTTCAGATTTGGTGAACAATTTGGGAACCATTGCACGGTCTGGCACCAAGGAATTCATGGAGGCCTTGCAGGCTGGTGCTGACGTCAGCATGATCGGTCAATTCGGCATTGGTTTCTACTCCGCCTACCTCGTCGCCGAGAAAGTAATCGTCACCACCAAGCACAACGACGATGAACAATGTTGTTTATGCAAAAAAATTAGGAACACAACCTCAAGAGCACTAGGCTCTGATACCAAAACTGATGGAACTACTTGGAGAAGATTGATGAATCTTCAAGTGCTCCATTCCAAGACCTTTAGACTCTTGAGGTTGACCACGAATTTGGATGAGGAAATCCTTTGAAGAAGCTTCAATGAAGAAGAATCACCAATGAGGTTCGGTTACTCCATGAAAGAGTGATGAAGCTTGTTGAACAAGCTAAAAGGTTGGAAACCTTTGAGAGAAACTTAGAGAGAAAGTTTCTCCACGAAATTTAGGACTTTAAGAGGAGAGAATTTGAGTCAAATTCTGATTTCATATCTCAAAAAGTGAAGTACAATGAGCAATTTAGAAATATATAGGGAGATGTAGCTTGTAGAGGAAGCTAACCTTAACCATGGTTCACTAGGAACCATGGTAAGGTGTAGCTAACCATCCATGGTTTCTAAAACTTGTAGGAGAAGCTAACCTTGACCATGATTCACTTAAGAACCATAGTAAGGTCAGCCAAACCTACTAAGGTTTAGAAGCTTGGAAGGCAAGCTTCAAAGCTTGTAAGAGAAGCTAGAAATTTCAGCCAAGAATAAAAGAAATGAGCTAGGCGGCCAAGACTCAAAAATGCTCCATGATTTATTTCAAAAATATTTGATTTGGTTTAGTTAGGTTCATCATATGATGATGAGACCTAGCTAAATCAAATCTATGAAAAATTAGGAGCAAAATGAGTCTAATATGCAAAATTTTGCTTAGGCCCAGTTCTGGCCCAATTACTAGTCACGCCCTCAAGCATTGCTAAATGCCACCCCTTTTTCCCTACTGAAAAAATATAAAATGAATGTATCAACAAAAGAGGTTAAATGGAGTTAAACTATCCAAGTAACCCACCCTAAAATGAATATACAATCACTAGTTAAAAGCAAGTAAAGTGCCTCACAAATACAAAGGCAAAAATAAGCCTATACAAAGAGACTACTATATGTACAAACATATGAAAGGTCTTTAATATAATCCCATTCCTCTTGGTTCTTTTAAGATATCACCTCTTGGATTCCTTGGCCTTGGCCATAGTCTATCACCTCGGCGAGGTCGACAGCATGGTCCTCGGCCAAGGTGGTTTTGACCACCATGTCGTCAACATAGACTTCCATGTTCTGCCCGATCTACTGGTGGAAAACCTTGTCCATCAGTCGCTGGTAAGTGGCTCCTGCGTTCTTGAGACCGAAGGGCATCACTCGGTAGCAGTAATTGGCGTGATCGGTAATGAATGATGTGTGAACCTCGTCTGGTGGGTACATCATGATCTGGTTGTACCCGGAGTAAGCATCGAGGAAACTGAGGAGGGCATGCCCGGATGCTCCATCAACCAGCCTGTCGATGCTCGGCAAGGGGTATGAGTCCTTGGGGCATGCTTTGTTCAAGTCGGTATATTCGACGCACATTCGCCACTTCCCCGAGCTCTTTTTTACCAGCACCACGTTTGCCAGCCATGTGGTGTACCTGACCTCACAAATGAAGCTAGCGTTCAGTAACTTTTGTGTCTCAGTGATGATGGCCTCCCGCCTTTCACCACCGACTTTCCTCTTCCTCTGGGCCACTGGCTTTGCCTCCTTGTGAATTGCCAGCCTGTGATAAATGAAGTTAGCATCTATACCTGGCATGCCTGCTGATTTTCGTGCACTGCCCAAGAAGCTTCCCGATCTGGAGATCGTCGAGCTCGTCGATGGGACTCAACCGTTCATCATGAGAGTCTGACCTCGGGTCCAGGTCAGTGATATCCACGTGGGTGATGTGAGCCACTATGGGGGGATCACTTCGGCAACCCTCGTCGGATGAAGAGACTTTCAGACTTTCGGCGTAGCATTGCCGAGCTGTCTTCTGATTTGCCTTGACGGAGATAATCTTGCCATCACTCCCTGAGAATTTCATAGTGAGGTGCGGGGTAGACACCACTGCTCTGAGTTGGTTCAACGTCGGCCTTCCAATAATTATGTTGTAGGATGTGTTGGCCTCCACGAGGAGGTATCGGACCATAATCCTCCATGTGTCGGGAGAGGTTCCGAAGGTTGTCAGTAGGTCCACGTACCCTCGAGTGTGTACTCGCTCTCCTGCAAATCCAACTAGTGATTCTGTGTGAGGTTGGATAAGGGAGTGAGGGATGTCTAACCTGAGGAACTTCGGCCAATACAAGACATCAGCCGAGCTGTCTTGGTCGATCAATGTCTTGTGGACTTCCCAATTGGCGACCTCCACAGGGATGACCATTGGGTCGTCCTGGTTGGGGCAGACACCAGTGTAGTCGTCATCAGTGAAGGTGATCGGCGACGAGCTTTGGTGTGAGGTCGGGGTAGCGGAGTGGACGTTGTTGATACTACGCAGGTGTCTTTTTCGGGCCGAGCTGCTAGATCTTCCCCCTACAAAGCCACCTGCAATTGCGTTGATTACTCCCCGTAGGGGAGTTGACCCTGTTTCCTAGCTTACCTCAGCTTGCACTGCGCCACCAGCATTTTGCTAAGAGCTACAGGGTTGGTCCGCGCGAGCTCCCGAACCGCGACCTCTGCCTCGTCCTCGTCCATTGTAGCCTCCTCTGTGACCCTACTGTCGTTGGACGTATTGGCCGAGGTGGCCCGCCTGGATGAGTTCCTCGATACGGTCCTGGAGTGTGCGACACTCTTCAATGGTGTGACCGTGGTTGCTGTGGTATCGGCAGTGCTTGGATTTGTCTGCACTGTTAGGAGTGTGACCTGGTGGTGGTAGGGTGAGCAAGTTGCTGTTACTGGCTTCCTCCAGGATGTGTACCTGGGGCGTATTCAGGGGAGTGTAGAAGTCGTATCTTCCCCCCTTATTTGCCCTGGCAATCTTCTTGAACTGGCTGTCATTGGTAACCTTCATCTTGTCTTTGTGACCATTGTCAGGCTTTGCTTGTGATTTTCCGCGAACCTGGTCACGAAAGGCGGAGTGTTCTTCCATCTGTATGTACCCTGCAGCTCGGGCACGGAGTTCGTCCATGTCGGCGGGAGCTCGGCGACACAGGCTGTCCACAAAAGGGCCTGGCTTGAGCGCCATCAGCATGGCGTGCAGGGCGACCTCGGGGTTTAGGTTATGAATCTTCACCGAGATGCTGGCAAAGCGCTCCATGAACGCCCTTAGTGACTCATCATCGCCTTGTCGAAGACTGGCCAAGGCGACGGAGGTGACGTGGTGAGGGCGACTCGTGGCATACTGCGCCATGAATCGCCTTACCAAGGTGTCGAAGTTGTCTATCAACTCAGCAGGTAACTGGGTATACCAGTTGAGCGCAACCCCTTTAAGAGAGGTCGAAAAAACCCTACACAGAATAGCATCATCATTAGTGTAAAGGTTTACCTGCGTGATATACAGGTCAATGTGCTCGTCTGGATCCGTCATGTCGTCGTAGCGGTCGATGTGGAGGGGTTTCCAGCCGAAAGGTAGGGGGGTCTCCATAATGCCATCCACAAAAGGGTGGCGGCGGATGCTCGCTCGATTGCCAGAAGCCTGGGCAGGAGCAATGCTGACTTCATGGCCCGACCTGTTCGTCGGTGCGTGTGATCGATGTGTGGCAAGCCTGGGAGTCGGTGCCCTAGGAGCTGTCGGCGGTTGAGAAACCGAGTGCCCCTCTTCCTCGTGTTGGTGACTCGGTTGAGGGGGTTGATCAGAAGTCCACCGAGGAAGCTGGGCGTGAATGCGCTCATTCTCGGCGCGCAACGTCGCTAGGTCAGCTTCGTTAGCGGTATGCAGCGCCGCTAAGTCAGTTTTGTGCTTGGCACACATGTTTTGCAGATCGGCTGATAGATCATGAGCCAAGGGCCCAGTCACTAGAGCTATGGCTAGAAGAATCCAAGAAGAGTTGGACCTCTTGAAGACTAGTGGGCTTTCCAAGCCCAAGGTATTCTTCACTTGGACTACTCAATCATAAAGAGAAGGCCTAGTTCTACTTGTGTATATTGTATAGTTTTTACATAGTCTCTTGTATAGGTCATTTTTGCCTTTGTATTTGTGAGGCACTTTACTTGCTTTTTCTAGTGTTTGTATATTGATTTTAAGGTAGGCTACTTGGAGAGTTTAGCTCCATTTAACCTCCCTAGTTGATGTATTCATTTTGTATTTTTTCAGTAGGGAAAAAAGGGTGGCATTTAGCAAAGCTAGGGAGTGTGCTTAGAAATTGGGCCTGAGTTGGACCTAGGCAAAATTTTGCATATTGGACTCATTTCACTCCTAATTTTTCATAGATTTGATTTAGCTAGGTCTCATCATCATTTGATGAACCTAACTAAACCAAATCAACAATTTTTGAAATAAATCAAAGGAGGAAATGGATACAAGGCCGCCTAGCTCATTTGTTCTTCCTTGGCCGAAATTCTAAGCTACACCTCTTGGTTTTTGAAGCTTCTCCTCCAAGTTTCTAAACCTTGGTAGGTTTGGCTGACCTTACCATGGTTCTTAAGTGAACCATGGTCAAAGTTAGCTTCTCCTACAAGTTTTAGAAACCATGGAAGGTTAGCTACACCTTACCATGGTTCCTAGTGAACCATGGTTAAGGTTAGCTTCTCCTAGAAGCTACCTCTCCCTATATATTTGTAAAACCTTCTCTTGTATTCACTTTTGAGTATTTTGAGAAATAAACTTCAGATTTCTCTCCAAAAGTCTCTCCTCAAAACAATAGGGAACTATCTCTCTTAGGTTTCTCACCAAAGGTTTTCAACCTTTGGCTTGGTTCCTTAAGCTTCCTATGTAAGCTAAGGAAAACCGAACCACTTCAAGGCTTCTTCTCCATTGAAGAACACTTCGTGGAGCTTCAAAGAGTCTTTGGAAGATTGACCTCAAGAGTATTCACGGTCCTAAGCATGGAGTACTTGAAGAACAATAATCTTCTCCAAGTGACTTCCATCATCGGCAGTGTGTTGTTGTCGCATTTGTTCAACCTGCTCGATCATCCTTCTCAATGCTGCTTCGTTGTCCATGTTTGTCGTGTGATGAACAATCTTGGAAGAGGTTTACGTGAGTCAACCTCCTAGTTTTGAAAATGAATTATTATCATCTCATGTTTTCAAACTAAACAAAGCTTTGTATGGATTAAAACACGCACCACGTGCGTGGTATGAAAAATTAAGATTTTTTCTAATAACAATAATTTTATAAGAGGAAAAACTGACAGAACCCTGTTTAGAAAAGAAATAAAATATGATTTCATAATAGTTCAAATCTACGTAGACGACATAATATTTGGTGCTACTAATGAAAATCTTTGCCAAGAGTTTTCCAAGCTTATGTAGGATGAATTTGAAATGAGCATTGATGAGTCATTATTTTCCCTTATTTATTTATCTTTTTGTACTTATTTTAATTGTTGATTTGGGCTGGATCGCTTATTAATTGTACAACTTTACTGTTTGGGCATCATTGGGCCAGTAATTCGAATTTTAATTAATTCTGATTCACTTGGTCTAATTTTTGTTTATCAATTATTTTTAGGTTAATTGTGGAGCACTTTTGGGCTTGGATATTAATTTTGGACTTCAAGAGATAAAGTGCCACGTCAGTGCCATGTCAGCACCACATTGCCACGTCAGTGCCACATCAACAACATGTTTACATTTTTGTTAACCTCATTTTTGCAATTTTGGGCCAGACACATGTGCAGGGGGCCCATTTGCATTTTTAGGTTTTAGGTGTGTAGGTTAGGGCTGACCTAGCAACCACGAACATTAAGAAAACTGATGTGACCATGTTTTGTTCCTTCCTCCCCTTTCTGGACGTTTTTTTCTCTCAATTTTTGTATCTCTATTTACGTTTTGCTTCTGCGTTCATGTTGGTTTTTTTGATTGTATTTAAGACTGCATTTTGCTTGAATGAATACAGACTTTGCGTTTCCTTCTCTTCTACCTTGTTACTTCTGCATTTTTGTTTTAATGGAAGGATAAATCCCTTGGGGTTGGCTTCTTGTTGTGGGTTGTAATCTCTGTTTGAGGTTGGGTACGTTTTGTATATCTTTATTTTACTTGATCATTCTTCATTTTATCTTTGTATTAATGTGTTCATGCTTAATGGGCTATCCTTAATGCCACAGTTGTTTAATCTGTGAAGAGGTTCAATGTTGTATACGTTTGCTTAATTCGTGTAGGAGATCG